AACGTCCCCCTTAGAGGATCATGATCGTAAAATATTTTGCATCCGCCGCCTCTAAGAAGTAAAACTAACGGCGTCATATTTTACTCGGAGGTCGAGCGCCATTAAACTGAATCTCACAGCTGCTAACGTCTGTCTGGTCGCGTCGTAAAGCTGCTGACTGACACCTGAGAGGTTTTTATCGCATCAAGATGAAAATCCAGAGAGGAGACAAATAAAGCAGGTCAGGATGTGGAGAGAAGTTTGGTGCCAGTAAAAGACTAATTCACGGATATCTTTGAAAGCAGCATAAATAAAAAGCTGCCATCTGGTTTCTGACCTGAACGTTGGTCTCTGGATGGTCTTTGTCTCGAGTTTGATGAAATAATTTCTGCTCTGTTCAGGTTCATCTGCTGGATTCCGCCCTCTAGTGGACGAAATGCAACACAACAAGCTGCAGACAGAAGTTTTCTTTCTCCTGTTTTTACGGACAAATGTTTTAGAAAATTAATCTAAATGTGCTTTATTTACTGCAAACATCAAACCAAATCTGAAGTTAATGAGTGTACTCAGCTTTAGGGCAGCAAATAACTAATTTGGTGAACATTTTACAGATTAATCGATTCTTGTAAACGATTACTTTTCCTCTGAAAAGCATAAATAACTATTTAACTTGGCTTAGTTTTATTTGGAAAAACTTTGTGGTTGTATAAAGCAGCTGAGAACATGATGGAAGTTAAATTCCAACATCTGAGTTTAAGTTGGACTCAACGTTACGTCAACACAACTAAAACTAAACCACGTTTGCAACTTAAGTACACATAAATACACAGGATTTCTGTCTTATGTTTAATAAATTTGAGGTGAAAGTTCTTCTGCTGTAGCTTCAGAGCGAATTAAAGGACTCAGTCATTCCTGAACTAAATAAAAATCCAGCTTCAGCTCTGCAGTGAAACGTTAGACCTTTGTTGTCTTTTTCAGATTTATTGCTGCTCAGTTGTTCAAGCTGCTGCCTGCGTGCACGTCTGAGATGTGTGTGTGCAGGTTTGAGTGCACGTGCATGCGTGTGTGTGTGTGTGTGTGTGTGTGTGTGTGTGTTGCACGGCAGCATGTGTGGACATTCCTTCCATTCCTCCAGCTCTCAGCTGTCCTGCTGTCTGACTGATTGTAACTCCGAGACTGCAGGACGGACAGATGGACTCTTTGGTCCTTTAATGTGTTCAGAAAGATGCTGCAGATCTGTGACAGTCTGCTCTTTTCTCTGCAGCAGCACCAGAACCAGTATAAAATAAACTGATAAAGAAGATCTGAGCTGAGCCTCAGAGGATGAACTATGAAGCAGGTTCAACATATCCAGGCTTACTCTGTGCTAGCCGGATCAACAAAACTGAACATCCCAGTCAGAGATAACTGCTATCATGACTCGGCGCGTTTCAATAAAAGGCGCCTTTAATGAGTCACATGACTCTTCTTCTGCACAAAATGGACCATCGTCAGTCAAACAGGTCGTTATAATGAATACAAATGTAAACGTTTGCAGTTGTGTAAAACAGCACCGTTACTTTCAATGCTGTAAGATAATAAAGATAGATAAAGATAAAGATACTATATTTTCTCACCCAGTAACTCTCAGTTTTTAATTCACAGCTGCACATTAGCTGGTCAGTATCAGTTACCATGGAGATCTAGCTGTGCAGCATCAGTTACCATAGAGATCTAGCTCCGCAGTGTCAGTTACCATGGAGATCTAGCTGTGCAGCATCAGTTACCATGGAGAGCTAGCTCTACAGCATTAGTTACCATGGTGATCTAGCTGTGCAGCATCAGTTACCATGGTGATCTAGCTGTGAAGCATCAGTTACCATGGAGATCCATCTGGTCAAGGAGAGCCTCCTTTGTGACACTAAGACCTCTGACTGGATAAATCTGTTGAACACATTAATGTCCATCTGGAGCTACTTTCACTCACTCATTCAATCTTTACTTAAATCTTGAATGGATGACACAGCGTTTCCTCGTCCGCTCTGATGTCGAGGCGACAACCAGAACCTCGTTATGAACACTGACTGGAGGACTAGTTGGTTATGCTGGTTTTAACTTGACCTAAATACTCAGTTATTAGGGTCTGGATGGGTGACTGGTGTCCATCTTCTAATTACAGAGTCACAACTCTAACTCAAGATCTCTAGAACTTTATTTTAACAAAGCAGAATGTGATGTCCTGAGCTGAAGGAATGAAAGACGTCGAAACTTTCACAGTAAACGTTGTCGTTTGGTGTTTTTCTCTTATATCTGACTGTTATCTGCTGCTCTGACTGAAGAGAAACCAAACGTCCACACCGAGGAAAAATGACCACAGTGTTGACCACACACACACATGGTGACACACACACTCATGGTAACACACATACACACAGTAACACACACACACACACCCTCCCAGCTGTCTGCTGTGCTGAGAGCTTGATGCTGCCGGTGGGGGAGGAGGAGAAACTGGAGCTCAGAGTTCACATTCAGACGGATCCTGCGGTGGTCACTTAGTTAGTCAGTTAGTACGCTTAGCTGCAGCTCAGACCCACTAACCAGCTGGTTTAACTCTAACAGGAGACCCACTAACCAGTCGGTTAACTCTCCCAGCGAGCCTCTAACCGACCAGTCGACTGTCAGAGCTGATGCTGAGGGCTTCGGCCGGCTGCTGCTGGAGACATGAAGCTTCCTTCAGTCCAGATCCTGCTGCTGTGGATTCTCTCTGTTGGTTCTGGTGAGTTCTACTCTGATGGTTCTGGTTCAGCCCTAATGGTTGGTTCTGGTTCAGCCCTAATGGTTGGTTCTGGAGCAGAGCAGCTGCTGAAAAGTTGTTGAAAGAAAGCTTTGGCTCGTTGTTTCTGAACTAAACCTCTGTCGTGTTCACTGTGAGACGATCAGTCAGAACCTACTTCACATGGAGCTGAGTTCTGGTCTTCTGCTCTCTGTGAAAACATCTAACTGGACTTTAAACTCAGAAACTGGAGAAAACTTCCTGAAACATGTTCTGGAGACAAAAACAGCCACAACCCACTATTTAAAAAAAAAAAAAAAGACATGTCTAGAAACAGTAGAATATCATCACATTCAAAAGCTTCTTTTTTTTTTTAAACTCATAACATTAATGGCAAAAAGATTTATTTTTACATTCATGTTTATATTGTATTTTAAATATATATTAATTACAGTAAAACAGTAATTTTATAAGAACTAATGTTTATTTGTAAAAACAGACTTTTTCTTTGGATGTTATTTACAGTTTTGGTCTATTTTTTTGTATCAACGTGTAATTTAATATGTGATTTCATAAGTAACTATTTGTCATTTAATAGAACAGGAAAAATCTGTAAAATAAAAGTAAAATGTAAAAAAATAATACATTTTAAAATTTTAAATTACAGTTAAAATCTTTTACAGTGCAGACAGTAAAAATCAGGCAGGAAGGGGGTCAGAAAATACATTTAAACAAAAGCTGTGATATGCTGTTGAGTTCAAAAACTGAAAACAAAACCTGAAAATAATGACAAATATCTGTGAAATGTGTATATTTGTAGCTGAACTTGATTCTGTGATTTTATTAGTTATCTATACTTTTTTTAAAACTGGAAAAACCTGCTAAATAACATGAAATTGTTCAATAAATTACATTTAAAAACATTATTTTCTTCTAAAGCAAATGAAAATAACTTCATGTCATAATGTTAATACTATGAAATAAAACATACAACCTACATAGAATTATTATTATTAGTAATACTGACAATAATATTAATGAATATTAATACATTGCTGAAATCTTTCCATGCTGGAATCTTATTTGTTGAAAAGTATGAATATATGTGATTAATCTAAAAGAAATTATAGTATAAAGGTTAAAATACTTGGAATATTTCAGAAGACTAAAATGTATGGATGTAGTTTTATTATGATACTGCTTTATTAAGTACAAACTTAAAGCATAATGCCTTTAGATGCATCACATGGAGGCGACATGAGAAATAAAATTGTGCATGAATAAAATATAAATATGCAGAAAATTTAAATATAAAATAATCTGAGACCTGTGTTTACAAATTCGACCATTTCAGATGAATTTTCAATCATTTAAAATCAGATTTAAAAGGCACAAAACTATTGATTTAGCCCAAACCAGACTGAGAGGACGAACCAATAAATCCTGACTCAGTGTTCAGGAGGATTTTACTTTCTCACTCGTCCTGGTGATCTTCACACAGCAGGATCTGGTCAGCGGCAGCTCAGCAGCATTTGTCCTTCAGGTAAAAACAGCAGCTCGGCGTTGTTCAGATTCCTCTCTGCATTCACACTGAAGGAATTTACGGCAGCGACGTTCTGCTCAGGACTCACTTATATTTATCAGGAGGAGGTTTGGATCCAAGGACACTTTAACATGGAGCTCCAGAAGGTCTCCATTGTCCGTGAAGTCAAACACTGAGCTCGTATTTATCTTGAGCTGCTGCTAAACATCGAGATGTTGCAGGTTGTTTCTTTACTGCACTTCGTTTTAGCTGAAGTTTTTCTCTACGTAGCTGCTGCATCGTTTTGTCTCCAGTCATCGTTCTGCTGCTGCAGAGTTCGACTGTGTTCTAAAGACCTAAAGCATCTTAATTCAGATTGTTTGTAGAGCTGCTGCGCTAAAGATGCTGCTGTTCTTCTCCGTATCTGCTGCATCCTGACCTCAGTGTTTGGTCTCCAGTCGTTGCTCCACTTCTCTACAACGTGGCTGCAGCAGAGTCCGACTGTGTTCAGCGTCAAAGCTTCTTCCAGTGATCCAGAACTAGAAGCTGGTTTGTCCGCTGAGCAGAGTTTGGATGAGGAAACACCAGGAGGAACTTTCCATCTGGTAGCTTCTCTCCTGCTCTCTGTGCTCACATGTCCTGGATTCTAATGCAGCTCAGCTCCAATAAAGCTGCTCTCAGCTCCACTGTTTCCTCTTTCTGTTGTCAGACAGCAGAACCAGAACCAAACAGACACCGAGACGATAAAATCCTGACTTTAGAACGTCGTCAGACACCAAACACTCGAGTTAAAGACGAGAATTCAGCTGCATTTACAAAGAATTCAAAGCTGCTGCCGAAGTCACACAATGAGGAGAAAAGGAGCTGATTTAACTGCTCTGAGCTGGAAAACATCCATCGAGTGCACGTTCACCTTCATTCATAGACAGACTCGACTTTATCACCTTTCAGCAGAAAGATTTCTGTTGGAGTTGCACTAAATAATCATAATAATCTCTCACTTTGCAGTTTAATAAGTCAACCTTGTTTCCATTTAACGCTCTGCTGCTTTAGACAATCACACACAGCTTTACAACATCAAACAAATCAAAATGAAAATGTTATTTTGGGGTTTTTTTGTGGAAAATTCATCCCTTAGATCAGCAGACTGAATGATAAATCCTCAGCTGATCAGTCGTGTCCTGATCCATCGACTCCTATGAATGAATTATCAGATCAGCTGCTGAAGACAATAAATAGAACGTAACAGACTGTTTTGTCTAATAAGGAACAAAAAGAAAAGCCACAACATTAGATACAGAAATGTACAAACAAGACTGAATAAACAGCTGCTGAGAAAATACAACATCTAGATTCAATAAAGTCATTAAAGGAACTTATTCCCACCTGTTCAGTAAATGAACTTAGTATTTTGTGTAATTTAAGGTTAAACTTCTGCATTAGTTGATTTTAAACTTGAGGTTAAAACTTCATCTTGAGTTTTAAATAATGTGTGAATTTGCATTTTTAGTTGTTCTATCTGTTCTTTGGTTTATTCTAGTTTTTGCAATTTAATTAACCAGATATTTAACCCATAATTGTCTGGTCAAAAATAATAAACATCAGTTTAATGACATAGAGCGCTAATAGCACTACTTTTATATTTTATTTCATTTTTATTTCTTTATTATTTTTTTTTTTCTTTAAAGGATCAACTCAAAAACCAGATTTGGATTCTGTCAAAAAAAAAAAAAAAAAAAAAACAAGAAAACCGTTAAATTGTGTTTTTTTTTTAACTTTCTGAACTCCAAAATCCACAAGCAGCTTTAAAAAGCATTTAATCTTTAAAAATAATTCCCAAAATTACACCATTTATCAGCCAGAAACCGTTAAAATAGAAAGAAACGTCCCGTTTCCAGTGGTCCTTGAACTACTCGTCGGTGACGTTCTGGTCCATCAAGAAACTTCACAAAATCTGATGATGTAATCTAATAAATCTCAGTATTTCAAGAAAATTCCTTTTTTTTTTTTTGTACATGTCATTTTTTTTTTTAAATGCCAAAAACAAATTTTTTGCTTGACCAGATTCAGTAAAAAACAGAAAATTCTGCTTTTCTTCTTGTGAGCGTGAAGCCGTGACTGCAGCCAGCGTTCAACACAGAGCAACGTACAGGAACAGATTAAAACAGAAATAGTTCAATATCTGCAGTATCTGGAGCCTCCTTATGTTCCAGTGACCCCAGTGGAAACATGTTGGCTCCAGTTTGCTCGTTTGGATAAAAATACCTTAAAAATTCTACTTTAGTTTTTTCTGGTTTCCATCAATTCTGACTGAAGTGAAAAATGAACCACAGTGAAGAACAACGAGACGAAAGCAAAGAAGTAAAAACCCAGAAGAGGACAAACGAGTTTCCTTGATCAGAAGTAAACGAGGCTGCAGTGAAACCGTCTCAGGCCTGATTGTCTCTGTTGTCAGCTGATATTTAAACACAGCGAAGCAGCCGCAGACACTTCAGAGCGACTCGGAGTGAAGCGACTGTTAGCAGCTGTTCAGTCACGTTGTTCTGAAAGCAACAACTCAAGTCTTTTCTCTGGAGGATAAAAACTCTCAGCGCAGACAGACCGGCTGCCTCTGGACTTTCTGTTCAAGTATTCTGCTGTATTTAAATGTGTTTTGTTGTTTGAACTTTCTTGGTCTGTGTTTTCGTTTCACTAGATCGACTCCGAATTTTTCAAAAATGGTAAAAAACGCAGCAGAAAATATCTGTGACCCTTCTAAATGTAGTCAGATCTCCAAAAGTGTTTGAATTAAATTAATTAATGACAGTTACTTGCAGCGTTTTCACACCGTAGGACCATAAAAGGACTATAAAGATGTCTGATTTTAAGTTTTACCATTTTTTTGCAATTTAAGAAAACAGAGAAAATCTGTCAAACTGGTAAAATAACAGGAAATTGTTGGAAAAATTAGAGTTCAACATTTTTATATTATGTGTATAGCTGTACTGGTACCACTCATAGAATAATAAAACACCAACAAACAGAGCCCGCTGAGCAGCCAGAACCGCTCTCTGAACCGTTCAGGTAAATACAGAGAGCTGTGATTGACAGCTCCAAGTGGCTCCTCGGTCCCGCCCCCTTTCTATTTGTGTCCGAGGCCACATCAAAGCTGCAGAACCGGATCACCGCAGCAGCACCAGCAACACAACCACACCACGGCCCTCCACCGGGCCTCTGACAAACATCCCACAGAACCAGAGAAAGGACGTTGTGTGTCTGTTGTGTTGCTCTGGTTGTGTGTTTGTGTGTCCTCGGGTCCTGATGGCTGCATGAAACACGACCTGAGCGCGCCCGGTTCAGGCAGAGGGCAGCTCAGCTCACCAGCACATTCCTGAAATAACCTGCGGAGGATGTTGTGTGCTGGGTCATCGTACACGGCGACACGAGCTGACACGAACACAGGTGATGTAGGAAGACTGTCGACTCCCCGCCAAAATAAAGTCCACTCAGCTCTGGTCTCTAACTGTGGAAGATCTGAGCTCATTTTACTGGCGATCTG